CCGCGGCGCTGCTGGACCTGCGCGCACTGGCGGCGCAGCTGGAGGCGCGCGGCGCGGCGGCGCGGGCGCGGGCGCGGCGCGCCGTCCGGCGCGCGGGCGAGCTGCGCGCCGCGGCGCTCGCCTGCGCGCAGGCCCAGGCCACGGCGCTGCGGGTGATGCTGGGCGCGGCGCGGCGGCTGCGCACCGCGCGCGACGCCGTGGCGGGCGAGGAGGGGCATGGCAGGCTGCTGCAGGCCTTTGCCGCGCTGACCGCGCGGCGCTGCCGCCTGCTGGACGCGCTGGGGGAGGCCTTCGAGCTGCAGCCCAGCGCAGGTGGGCTTGGAAGGAGAGAGAAGGGATGGTGGTGTGGGGGCGAGGAATGGGGGGCGGCGACGGAGGGACGCCATGGCTCAGCACAGGTTGCCTTCAGGGCTGCTGCTGCCGGCACTCATGTCCTCCATGTGATTGTCCCGCAACACTGCTTCTCGTGGCCAGTGCAAACTTTACTCGGACCATCTGTTCTGTTCTGCCCCTGCACTCCTTACACACGGCACACCTGCTTCCCATACCCCGACGACCACCTCTTAAAATGAACGGCCAAAATCACAGTGATGGTTGCACGGGAGCCGTCAGGCGGCTACCTGGAGGAGCGGCTGGAGCGGCGCTGGGCGGGGTCCTCGGCGGGCGTGGCCTCGCGCCACACACTGCCGTCGCACCCCTCCCTGCTGGCCCCGGGCCTGACGGCGCGCGAGGTCCAGCTCAGCATCCTGGGGCGCACGCTGGACGCGGGGGTGTGGCGCAAGGCCTTCCTGGCGGGCGGCTACGACGCCGACCCGGGCGAGGACCGCGCGGCCAGCGTGGCCGCCGGCTACGCCGCGCAGGTGGTGCAGGCCGCAGCGCGGTACCTGGGCGTGCCGCTGCGTTACCCGCTGCGCCTGGAGGGGTCCACCTCCGGCATCGCCAGCGGATACGCGCCGGCGGGCGGGTGGCGCCCCGCCCCCGCCCCGGCCCCCTCCTTCTTCTCGGGCGCGCCGGCGGCGGACCCGGGCGCGGCAGACGCGGGCGCGGAGCTCCAGACCTACCCGCTGCACTGCACGGGCGACCGGGACCGGCCCAGGTTCGGCATCGCAGTGTACCTGCTCAACAAGGACGTGGCCCAGCTGCTGCAGGCGCACGGCATGAGCGCTGGGGGACCGGGCCACCTGCTGGCTAATTTGCACAAGCTTCTGGCCGCGGCCAGGAGTGCAGGGCTCTGTTGACGGGCTGGGATTGTTGGGGAAGGCTCAGGCCAGGAGCCCCAATGCCGCCATGGCATCATTGTTACCCGGGCCTGGGCCCCACCCCCGACCCGCGTGTTGGGGGCTTGGGCCGCGGGCCCGCCTGATGAACAGGCGCCTGAAGCCCGTGCATGGCTGTGTGCCTTTCGTCATGGCATGTAATGGCCCTGTCTCTGCCGGCTTCCCTCGAGGCAGAGATTCCGGAACAGCCTTCGACCCGGGAAATCGATGCCGGTGGGGTTGTTTGGGGGGCGCCGGAGCAAGGAAGAATCTACACAACGGCAGGACCTTATTCAGTAGATTCGCCCAGCTACCATCATCCAGACCATTAATTGTGATCTGCCTCAGCGCATCGATCCGCAGTCCCCGGTGTAAAGGCGACGCTCATACTCAGTCTCACCCGGCCGTTCGCCTTCGCTGTGCGGCGAGGAAGTGGGTCCCAGACCTGTGCACCTCTCGACGCCGTGTGAGACAGCCGCAACTCGGTTGATGCATACACAGCTCCCATGGGCTAATTGCCGCCTGCAGCTCGCCAGCGATGTGGATGAGGACTCCGACGGGCCGCAAGGCATCGTGGGCCGGCTCTACCACACCGCCAGCTCCCATCCCGCCGTCCGACAGAACCTACAAACTCTTACATCCAGGTATGCGTGGTGGGGTGGCTGCGAGACGTTTCATGTCCCAAAGTCGCGACACATTTGACCGTCATCCCCCATGTTCCCCCGTAGGAAACTCTCCCTTCCGGCACTCGCCGTGCAGCATGTTGTGAACAAGCGAGGTGAGATTCAGATCCCTGAATGCTTTTTACCGTGCATCGATTCCAGGGAGGGGTCGGTAGGCGCAGGCATGCCCCTGCCGCTCCCCTAGTCGACTCGCCGACCGGTCGGATGTCACGTCGCCCGCCCCCACCCCCCACCCCGTAGGCCCCGATGCGCTCATCGGCTGCATCCCCGGCGAGACCAAGCACGCGGCCAAGATGCTTGAGCTCTGCACCGCGGCCTACGACGCGGACGAGGTCCTGGTCTGCACCCTGCCCGTGGCCGATGTGGTGCTGGTCCCGCGTGTGCCCGCCGTGGCCCAGCGCGACGGCCTCTTCTTCGTGGTCTACGCCACCAACATCCGCGCGGTAGAGCTGTGCGAGGCCCTGCGCCGCGAGGCCAAGGTCGCCGTCGTGCTGGACGTGGACAACACGCTGATCGACGCACACGCAGTCACGCTGAGCGAGCGCGACTGGGCGGCCCTGGACTGGGTGGACTGCACGGTCACCACCCAGTCTGGCAAGCAGGTGCCCGCGCAGTGGGCGCGCCTGAACCACTACGACCCACTGGCCGAGGAGGTGTTCCTCATGCACTGGCGCATGAACCAGGTGGACTGCACCTTCCACGTCCGCGTGCGGAAGGGCTGGGCCATCTTCCGCAGCTTCCTGGCGCAGGTGGCTGAAAGGGGGGGAGGGGTTCCCTCCTTTGGGGATCCATCGGTGGCATGGCAAGGGTCACGCCCCCCTGGAGCTCTGCACCTCCCTTTCACTCCAAACCCCCTCCTGCTCAGACTCCTCCCAACCCCCACTGGCACTCCCCTCCCCTCAGAACGAGGACCGCTTCACGACCTTCATCTGCTCCAAGGGCAAGCAGGAGTACCTGCAGCTGCTCTGGACCTTCCTGGACCCGGACGGGGAGCTGATGCCGCGCTCGCGCTGGCCGACGCACATGACCAGCACCTTCCCCGACGTGCTGCCCGCCGCGGCGCCCAAGACCGCGCTGAGCGCGCTGGGCTGCGCCAGCGTGCTGCAGCCCCACGTGGCCACGCAGCTGGCGGCGCCGGTGGTGGCCTTTGACGACTCGCGCTCTGCGTACTACGAGGACTACGAGAACAGCATCCTGTACGTGGAGGAGTATCGCCCCTCCGACGTCGCGGCCTCGGACTCGGGGTCGGTCCTGCGCCAGGCCACCGCCTGCCTGGACGCCTTCTGGCAGGCCACCTGCACGGAGGAGGGGGCCTTCGCCTGGCAGGCTGCGCAGTCCTTCGCCTCGGCCCTGCTGGCCACCGTGCGCCGCACGGCCATGGAATCGCCCGACGCCATCGCCTACCTGCAGCTGCGCTGCCGCAAGCAGGGCGAGGTGCTGTGGCACCAGTTCACCGCCGAGGCCGTGTTTGATGGCCGCAACTACATCCAGGACGAGGCGGAGGAGGGCGACCCAGGCGCCGGGGCGGGGGCGGCCGGCGCAGCCGGCGCGGCGCCCTCCCCCGCCCTCGCGCCGCCCATCGTCCCGCCCTGCTACGACGGCGCGTCGGTGCTGTCGGCCGGCGAGGGCGACCCCGCCGAGCGCCTGGCCGTGCTGGGCCGCCTGTGCAGCGCACGCGGCGGCGAGCTGGGGTCGGGCGCCTCGCTGCTGCCCAGCGAGGACGACTCGCCCACCGCCGGCAGCGCCTCGCCGGGCGACGTCCCGGTGCTCGGCGGCGCGGCCTACGCCGGCCTGGCGGGCGGCGCCCAGCCCCTGGCTGCCGCCCAGTGAGGCGCAACGGGGCGTGCCTGGGAGCCGACCCGGCAGAGTCCGCGTGCCTCGATGGCGCACGACGACAGCGATCATGAGGTTCCCTCCCGCATCCCGGCGGCGGCGGCCGACGCTCGGCGCCCGCAGTCCCTCGGTGTGCATGGCGCCACCACCGATTACCGGCCCCCTGCCGGCGCCGGCGGTGTGGGAGCTGCAGGGCTCCCCCTTTTCCACCATCACGAGGCTGAATGCCACTCAATATACATCCCCGGCCCCATGTTGAACAAGCATGGTCGCCCGCCCCGCCCAACCTTTAGGGCAGGAGCCCCTTTCCCCCTCCCCTTCCCGCGCGGCTGGCCATCTGCCAGCCCCAATTGAAATCCCGTCCCCATATGCTTGCACTTTTGCGTCCCACCCCTTGCTATGCGACGGTGGGGCGGAGCACACATCCCGTCCCGGCCCCACACATGCCCCTTGTCCTTCACTGCCCTTGCGTTCCGGGCGAGCCGTCCACCCACCGTGTCTTTGCTTTGCAGGAGTGTAAACTGCCAAATAATGAAGAGGTCACTGCTCAGCCTGCACTGGAAGGGCCGGAACTGAGCAACCGGGTCCATGCCTGTTGGGAACCCATCAGCCAGGGTGAGAACGCGCAGATCTCATGCGCGGAAGTCGGCATGAAGTGCGCGCATCGGCGATCGCGGGATCTCCGATGACCACATGCGTGGTGTCGCCCTGGGCTCCTGGCCTGTAAAGTGAAACCCTAGTAGCGCAGCCACCACACGAGTCGAGCATCATGGACGAGGAGAACCATCCCCTGCTCGTGCATGCGGGGGAGGATGAGCTGTGGGACGCGGTGGAGGAGGGGGTGCCGGGCGCCGATCGCACCTTCACGGTGAAGAGGCTCCTGGAAGAGCACCCCACAGAGGTCCTGAGAACGCTGCAGAAGCGCAGCGTGCGGCGCGTGGCGGAGTTCCTCGTCGAGGTGGGATCGGGCACCCCAGATCCGAGGGCCTGGCCTGGCCAAGGGACCGGCATCCGTACCGCCCCCGCCAGCATGGATCAATGTCAGAATGCGGTGAGGACATGGCTGGATACCCATGCGAGCATTTCCACACCCTCCCTCCCCCCTTGGCGCAGGACCACCTCGTCCTGGGGCGGCTGGGGGACGACTCCATCCTGACCATGGGCTCCGACAGCCCCACCCTGGACAATCCCGAAGAGGCCTGGCTGCGCTTCCTGGGCGCCTCAGCCTCCAAGAAGAAGCAGAAGAAGGGGCAGCATGGCTGGAGCAGCACCATCCCGGTGCTGGCATACAGCATCCGCGTGGAGAATGCTGCCGCCCCCGACCAGGACGGCCTCCTCCAGCCCCTGCTCAAGCGCTGGCAGGGGGCCGGCTGTGGCATGGATGTGTTTGCCCTGCCCGCTGTGCAGGCAAGTTGAGGGGATTGTGTGCTTCAGGGATGAGAGATAGTGGCTGTAGAGTTCTGGGGATCTTTCTGGATTTGATCCTGCAGCGACCCTCCCAGCCGCCGCAGTCCTTGTCACACGAGTGCCTCCCACTCCGATCCCGTCGCGCTCTGCACAGGCGGTGATCGACTGGAAGTGGACTTCCTACTGCCACAACCTGCTGCTGGTCGAGCTGGCCTTCTTCATGCTCTGGCTCTGCAGCTTTGCCGTCTTCACCGTTCTCTTCCAGGTGGGCGCATGGGTGGAAAGCGGGGGATGAGGGGCCAGCGAAGGTTCCAGGCGAATTGATTTGAGTTTGCGGGGCGGCACAGAGCCGGCAGGACTGCCCCCGCAACCCTCTGTGCTGGATACTGCCGTCCCCCTATCCCTTTCCAACATGAGATTCCTCCCCAAAACTCTCGTCTCACCAACAAATACACAAGTGGATGACTCATAAATTACCTGATCCTCCCAGGACGAGGACACAAGCCTGAGCCTGCGCGAGCTGGTGCAGACGGCGCGGGGACGTGGCACGGTGGCGGCGGACGTGCTGGCGCTGGTGGGCATGGCCCCTTTCCTGGCCATTGAGGGCGCGACCCTGGCGCACTACGGCCCCCGCGGCTGGGCCAGCCTGTGGAACCTGCTGGACTTGACCACCTACGGCCTGCAGGCCTACATCACCTTCCTGCACCTGGGTCGCGTCACGCTCAAGGCCGGCTGGCTGTCGGTGGCGGCGGCGCTCCAGTGCATCCTGCTCCTCTTCCGCCTCCAGTACTTCTCCCGCGTCTTCAAGTCCACGCGCTTCTCCTTCGTGGACGACCTGAAGGAGGTCATGCATGACGTCAAGTACTACCTCGTCTTCCTGCTCCTGGTGGTGGCTGGTTGGGGCCTCGCCCTGCACATCCTCTTCCGCGAGGACCAGGAGGAGCACAAGGAGTTCAGCACCTACCCGCTCACCCTCCTCACCATGGTCACCTGGCTGGACGGCGACGTGGAGCTGGACGGCCTGCACAAGAGCCACAACCCAGTCACCGCCTCCCTGCTGGGCGTCGGCTTCGTCTTCGTCATGGGTGTGGTGCTCATGAACCTACTCATCGGCATCCTCACCGCCAGCCTCGAGCGGGTGACCGACAACGAGGGCCTGCGCATGCTCCTCTCCAAGGCCCAGGTCATCGATGAAATCGACAGCACCCTGCCCAGGTGCTGGGGAGGAGGGGCTGTTCTTCGGTGATGGGGAGGGGGAAGGGGTGTGTCTGGAAATGGTGTCTCGGTGTGGTTCAGGGAAGCATGTGTGCGCATGTGATTTCAGAGTTGAGGGCAAGTCGGATGTCGGGGGAAGGGGTGGAAAGACAGCTGTGGAACCCTTGCATGTGCAAATGTGTGTGAGAAGGAATGGAATTTTGGGACTCCCTGCACAAGATTCAAACAGCATGTGAACCGGGCAGTGCAGCTGGTGAGGATGTAAGCAACACCTCCTACCCTCATCCCCAAAACACACAACCCATAATATTGCAGGTTTGTGGAGAACAAGTATCCCCACCTCTATCCCAAGTACCTGCATGTCCTGCGGGTTGACCCCGGGAGGCTGGACCACGTGGAGGTGGCCAGCGTGTGGGGCAAGGAGGAGGAGAACGAGGCGGGGACGGAGAACATGGAGGCGGGGGAGGACGGCGAGGAGGGCAAGGACAAGGGGCCGCAGGGGCTGGAGCAGAAGGTGGACGACCTGAAGAAGGAGATCCAGGAGCTGAAGGATCTCATCATGTCCATGCAGCACACCGCCACCGCATGAATGGCTTGGCGCGGGTTGGGAGGGCCGCTGCAGGGGCAGACTGTGATTATGCTGGCTGGCTGCCGAGGGGGGGGCGGGCACTTCATTACTGATCATTAAGTGCAGTGGTATATGTTGAAAAGCTTGGACGAGGGGTGATGTCAATCCCGCGGTGAACCTGAGTGCGGGAGGATGCAGTGCTGACTTCAGGGAGGGCCGCATGACGCCGCCCGTACGCGCGCGCACGTGGAAAACCTAGCAGTTGCGCTCCTGGTCCGCGTAAGGTGCCCTCAGCGTGGCGATGTACGAGCAATCATTAGCATACCTTACCAGCTCATACTATCAACAGGATCACTTGGTCAATGGCATAGTCCCTGCCACACAGGGGGGATGGCCAGCAGGGAGCTTTTCGCTGATTGGACCCTTCGCCAGCTGCAGGCAAGGGGACTGCGGCTATGCTGTCCAGATAGCACACTACGTTCTAATGCATTACAATGTTATCCATGTTCAACCACGAAAGGCCACTCCTCCCACTCCTCACCCCTTGATGCCCAGGAGTACATTGACGAAAGTGGTGGCAATTCTGCCAGTGCGAGGAGCAGGGAGGATCTCATCACCGAGGCAGCCCGCATCTCGCAGCTTGCACAGGAGGTGTGTAGAAGTCTACTGCGTCTATTTGGGAACCCGCTGGCACACATCAGGGTTGCACTGCCTGGTGTTGGCACCACCTAGTCCAGCACCCTTGACCAAGTCTGTGGGTAGTGCCCCTGATTTTCTCACTTCCAGCACACAGCCACTCGCCCATGCCAGAACACCAAATTGTTCCACCTGAGCATCTGCATCGCAGGCAGCCGGGAAGTCAGTCCAAGCGCCTGCTCCCCTGCCTGGCCGGGGCCCGACCGAGTTCTTCCCCGGCATAGGCAGCGAATCAGGGCCGCCACCCTTCCCACAGGCACAGCCGCCGCCCCTCCCCCACGGTCCAGGCCCGGCGCCGTATGGCGGGCCACCCATCCCTCGCGTCGGTGGCCCGGGTCAAGTCCCTGCGCCCATGCCCCCGGCCGGTGGGCCCGGGAAGAAGGCGTTTATCGTGGGCATCAACTACCGGGGTCAGCGCGCGGAGCTGCGGGGCTGCATCAACGACGCGCAGTGCATGGAGTACATGCTGCGCACACGCTTTGGCTTCTCCCAAGAAAACATTCTGCTGATGACGGAGGACATCAGGGACCCAAGCCGCCTGTGAGATAGGGGGTGGGGAAGGGGGAAGGGGAAGAACACTGCTTGAATCAGGAAAAAGCCTGGGTGCAGACTATTCCGGTGGCACAGGCAGTGCCCCATGCCTCAAACGAGAGAGCTCTCTCCCCTGACTGACATCCACAACACACAGGCCCACGCGGTACAACATATTTTGCGGCATCCAGTGGCTCACTTCAGGGATGAAGCCGGTGCGATAGGGAGCAGGAGGATTCGGTTGCATGTCCTTGGCGATGCAGCGCCCTCTTGAGCCAATGCTTGGAGGGTGAGGCTGGGGATGGGTCTGCCCGGAAGGGTCAGGATTGGCAAGTGAACTCCCACATCAAATTTCCTTCACCCGCTTCCCCTTCACCAGGGGGATTCCCTGGTCTTCCACTACTCCGGTGGGTACGTGAGCAGTGGGGAGCGTGGGCATGGACAGAGACACACCCATGTGCTGTGTCACCGCAGCCCGGACCCGTGCCCCACCCAGCTCCACCTGCCTGCCCGGCCACAGGGCATGGCAGCCAGCAGCCTGACTACAGCGGAGAGGAGCCGGATGGGAAAAACGAGACGTTGTGCCCCTTGGACTTCCAACAGGCCGGCGAGATTGTGGACAATGATCTCAATAGGTACCTCATTAATCCCATCCCTCAGGTAAGGTTGAAGGGGGTCCAGGGTCGGTGCATGGTGTGCAGAGGCCTCCATGAGGTTCCAGCAGCAGGGCAGACAAGGTTGGGCCTCTTGTCCTGTGTCTTCTACGCATCAACACTCAGCCGCGCTGCATCTCCCAACACCACAACTCGCCCGCCCCTTGCCCTTTTGCCCAGGGCGTGAAGCTGCATGCCATCGTGGATGCGTGCCACTCGGGGTCTGTGATGGACCTGCCCTTCTCTGCCATGAGCTACAACGGCGTGCCCCAATGGAGGAGCGAGTACCAGTGGCAACCTCGCGCCCACAAGGTGCCATTGGGTTCAAGCTGGATACTTGCCGGCAAGGTCGAGGGGGGTTGGAGGTGGATGATTCTAAAACGGTATGCCCTTGCAGTGAGAGTTCGGATGCAAACCTCGCAGGCTGGGTCGTAACTATGGTCCCATCCTCTCAATGCGTTCCAGGGCACGGCAGGCGGCTTTGCTGTGCAGATCGGGGCGTCCACGGACTCGCAGACTGCGGCAGATACCACCCAGCTGTCAGGTGACGGGGTTTCGGCAGTGGCGATTGGGAAGCAAAGAGTGCTGTATATCCACGTGGAAGATATGCTTGCAAGTGCAAATTGGCGGGAATTACGCGACCTGTTTGCTTTCGTGGTACTCGATCTTGCATCACAAAGCATATCAGTGCGCCCACTGTTTGGGCATGTGCTCAGGGTATACGTCCACAGGAGCAGCCACGTATGCCTTCATCCAGGCAATAGAGCAGCGAGGAACGACCATGACGTGAGCAGGGCTTGGGGCTGTTTTGGAAGGGTGCTCGTTGCTGTGATAGGGTTTTCGACCTCACCAGGCATCAGCGCTGCTTGTCCACGGCAGTCAGCCTTCCTCGGCTCAGGGAGAATGCAGGCTGTGGGCCCTGAGGCTGATCATACAGCCCTAGTTCTCCCTGTTTTCCTCCAAGGTATGGCGAGCTGCTGGTGGCCATGGACTGGACGCTGCACCACGCGCTGGGAGGCTCCTCGGGCGGCGGTGGCGGCGGCCTCGGCGGATCCCTGCTAGGGGGAATGGGCGGCGGGGGCCTGACCTCCATGCTTGGGGGCATGCTGCTGGGCAACACCGCCAACTACCAGCGGCAGCAGCCGCAGCTCAGTAGCGTGTACACCTTCGACCTGGGCTTCAAGTTCTCGCTGTGAGGCGGGGTCGGGATGTGCCGCAGCTCCGCCCAGCAACCTACTGAGAGGCTCCTTAGACCTCTGACGAGGACGCGGCCTGACAAGCCTTCAGGAAGGAAGGTCGGAGCTTGTAGCCTGGCACCTACTCAGGCTTGCCATGGCCATGCTCTTGGCACATTGCCTCGGGGATGGGGATGCTTGTTCCTAACCAAGGATATGAAATCATCCTGGCTCACAGCCGTGTCTTTTTGGGGCGCTGCCCCGCCACACAGCGCATGGGTGCAGTGTCATTTGGTCTGACACCAGAAAGCATGCCACACTTGCGGGTGAGTTCAAGCTGCCGCAATAATTGCAACTACTTTTCAAGTGTGTATAGAGTCGACAGCTCCCCCCCAATTTATCTTGACCCCAAACATTGCTCTCCCAACTCTCCCAATCTCCCTGATGCCCTTCGTCCGGCACATAGGTATTTAAGTCTTGCACCTTGGGACCTGTAAGTGTGTGAGATCGTTCAATCCTGCGGTCATAGATGCTCTTGCCGTGGTATGAAGGGTTGCAGAACCAGTAAAAGGTAGAGGGGTGAAGCCCTCATCTGTAAGAGCAGGGCATCTTGTCCAAGGTCCAGCAATGGACCTCGGGCAGAAGAGGAAGAGCTTGATCAAGTAATAAGGGAGGGGGAATGCATGGGCACAGCATACATCCTAGGTATTTCCCAGGTACGTATCACATGTACTTTGATGGGAGAAAGTCTTGAACAGGGACAGAGTGATGGTTGGGAAATTTCAAAGCCATCAGGCACTTTGCCCATTGGAGGGCTGCATGCCGTGCTTGGCGCGCAGCAGCTCCAGGATCTCGGCCTGCTGACGCAGGAGCTTGGCCACGTCTTCCTGCCTGGCGGGCGTCCCCCGTGGCTTGCGGGGCTCCGCGCTCGCCTCGCCGCCCTCGCCGCTCGAGCTCGAGTCTTCGCTGTCGCTCCCCTCCCGGGGACCCCCACGGTACCTCGACCTCAGGCGCTTGGCGGAGCGCTTTCCCAGCCTCCGGTGCAGCTGGTCCTCCTCCACCTGGAGGCAAGAGGTGGAGAGGGCAGGGAGACGTCAGAGGGTGGTGTACCAAGGATCCAGCAATAATGCTTCCCGATGATGCAGCGCCATATCAATCTGGCTGGGCTTGAACAGCCTCTTTCAGGGCACTGCCCCTCCCCTGCGGGCAGTGCCCACCCAGCCCCACCGGATCCAGCTTGTCGGGGTGGATGCGCAGGACGTGGACGTAGTCTGGGTGGCCGTCGGGGCGGTTCAGCCGCAGGAAGGAAGTGGCGATGTTGAGCGCCGAGGCCGTGGCCTCCACCTCATCGATCAGCTGCGCCTGGACCACCAGCTGCTTGGCCCCAGCATGCTCCATGACCTGCAGGGGTGTGCCACGTTGGCGTCAGGTACTGGGATGATTTCAGCTGAGGAGTGAGTATGGCGGGACCCAGAGGTCAGCGCCAAGCCCTTGCGTTTCGACTCGCCCGGTCCAGGCTGTTGATGATGGCGCCGATGAGCAGGTTGACCAGGATGAAGCCCTGGACAAAGATGTATGAGACTGCCAGGGCGGTGGCAAAGATCTGCGGCGGGATGGGGCTGAGTGGGCAGATGGGTGAGGAAGCTTGGGGTTTCAGAGTTGGGCAAGGCAGAGACCAGGGTGTGGAAGGAATGCAGAGGCGGGACTCCCCTTGCAGCCAGGATGGGTGTACATCCCAGCAGCATCCTCAGAGTCGCTCACCAGCAGGGCGCTGGGGTCCTGAACAAAACCCGGCAGCCCAACACCGACTGATACACACCACCCCGTACCGGCATGGATTTGGAGGAGTAAAAGTCCTTGAGCTCCAAGTCGCCATACACGTGCTCGTACATGGTGAGGAAGGAGCGCCAGATGCTCTTGTAGTCCTCGGGCTCCTTGTCTGCGGTCCGGAAGGTGATGTGGAAGGCGGCGGCGTATCCCCCCATGACGATGAAGAGGAAGATGAGGAGCCAGCTGGTATCGCAGATGACCTCCCACAGCACATCGGCAAAGGCGAAGCGGGTGGCCCGGAAGGCTCGGGACCAGTACTGGAGCCGGAACAGGAGGAGGATGCACTGCACCGCCAAAACGATGGTCAGCCACTCGCTCTTCACGCTCAGCCTGCCCAGGTGCATGGCGGAGATGGCCACCTGTAGGGTTCATGTTTGGAAGAGAGGGGTGGATGAGAGGGGCAATGTCACGCTGTCAAGGGCACATCACCTTGAAACACCTTTCTGTTTGCCTGGCCGATTCACGTGCAAGTCCTTCACACCCACAAGCTCACATGACGGATTGCCCACCACCCAGAGCTCTAGGAAAACATGCCGCTGCCCCGCCCCCCACCTGATTCACGTAGGTGATGGTGCTCAGGATGCGCCAGGGGTCGATCCAGAGCTGGCGGTACACGCCGGCCATGGTGGCGTCGATGACGAGGAAGGGCAGCATGCAGACCAGGACTCCGACCTCCAGGGACACTGTGACCTGGCCGCGCGTTGTGCGCAGCAGCTTCCTCAGGGAGTGGGTGAGGTCCTCGTCCTGTGGGTTGAGAAAGCGTGGCAGTCGGGATTCGTACCGCTGTGTTCTGACTTCGCAAAGGGGCCTGGTGCTGGGCCTTGGCACCATGACCCGCTGCCTCGCCACCCCACGAATCCCCCCTCGACATCCAACCGTGGCAGTCAAGGCTCGCATGCTCGGATGAGTCTTCAATAAACCACCTATCTACTCAAACATCCTGAAGACCTCATTCCCGTCCACACCTGGAAGGCAATGATGAAGCCGTAAAAGCAGACGAGCCAGCAAACGTAGAGCGCCAGCTGAAGGAACAGGCGTCGCCTCGCATAATCTGTCCACTTGAAGTTGATGATTGCCTGAGGGGGGGTGAGAAAAGGGGCTGGGAGAATAAAGGGGATGATGGCAGCACAGTAATCCATGCTCGATGGTACTCAGCAGGCCACGCCAGCAAGACCCAGTACCTGTACGGCAGGCAGTGAAAACACAAAGTAGGAGCAGCGCTTTGCTTGGTACCTGCATAGGAGCGGATAGGTCAGTGAAGCGCTTGATACGCTGTCGAATGATGGAGGGCCCCCAACACAATCAAAGATAGACTTCCCTGCGGAGCTTACAAATTCATCAGGCAGACCATGCCATCCCAGCCAGTCTGGCATCCAATATACAGCATACCTCCGGAGAAGGGGATGGAGCAGGCCCTTGGTATCTGGATTGGCTGCACCGCAGATGGGCACCACGAATGCCTCCACGGTGAGTGTGGAGTGCCATCCTGAGAGACGAAGGTGAGGGCATCAGGAAGCGAGAACATGGTGACTACGCCCTTGAAGTACTACCAGACCCTGCACGAGGATGGGGGACCTGCATGCAGCCTCAGACATGTTTACCTAGCTTGTGCCTGTCCAGAAGACTCACCCGTCGGTTCAGGCTTGATGTGCTTGCGGAGGAGCTGCCGCCATTCCCAGGCAGCATCCAGTTGCATCTCATCAGACCCAAAGGTGAGCATGGGGCCATCTTTGAAGGCAGGGTATATCAGGTTCTCCTGCAGCAGCAGTGAGCACGATGGCTCGGGTCCAGAGTGTCTGAACAGACATCACTGCCCATCACCCTCTATCCCAAGGCCATTCCCGATGGAGAGCGTCACCCTCTTTGCCGCACCCAACCCCTCGCCGCTCACCTCGACTTCGAACTCGGCCAGCTTGTGCATTCCCTTGTTCTGAATGTACTTCAGCACCTCCGATTGCCTGTGCCTCAGAAGTGAGGTTACCGTGGAGGTTGGTATGGACTGGAGCTCCGCCTCCATGTCGATACTCTCGGCCGGCCCTTCCATCAGGAGGCCTGCCTCAACGTCTCCATCCGAAATGTCGTCCATTTTCCCCTCGAAGCAGGTCCCGTTGCCAAGGTATGGTCAGACCAACAATGGTGGCTGGCAGGCTCGGGCAGGAATATCTCGTTCGCCGGCCCGTTCGAATAAACAGCTTCTCGGTCACTGCCTCAGCTGGCGGCCCAACAACAGTCCTCGCCCTCACTCGATGGCCCACTTGCATTTCTGAGAGTGGCAGCTTTCCCTCCTGAATCCACCTTAACAATGTCTCACGACCAAGCTTGAGACGCTCGGTCGACTGTCAACATACAATGCAACCTCAGTTCCCCTTCGCTCTAGTTCTTCTACAGCACCCCTAAGGCTCAGACCCACCATCCAAGCTGTGGAAGTCGCGTTCGTCAGACCTGGCCTGCATCAGCTGGAACAGGTCTTCCTGCTGTTTCAGCACCCTCTTCAAGTCCGCCTGGACCTGCAGCAATGCCTCGACCTGCATCCCGCCGCCTGCCACCCCAGCGTCTCCATTCGCCGCACTCCGTGTGGTGCCCTCCTCCCCCTCACTCCCGCTGCCAAGGTGCACCCCTCCACGATGCTGCGTCTGCAACCGTTTAGCAGATCGTTTTCCGAGCTGGCGGGAGAGTTGGTCCTCTTCCACCTGTGCTTGCAAGCGCAGGGGCGTTGTGGGGGATGGGATGACAGGTCAGTAGTGCTCCCGCAAGTGCCTGTCTGCAACAGGCTGGAAGTGCCGGCCGCCGCAAGCTGGGCCTCGCTTCGCAGGAAAAACACCTCCGCCCTGGCATGCACTCAACCTCTGCACCTGACTGAGCTTCTCCTCGTGAACAGAAAGAACGTGCACGTAGCGGGGATGGTACTCGGTCCGGCGTGCACTCATGTAGCTGCGGGCGACACTGAGCAGGGAGGCCGTGTTTTCCACCTCATCGATGAGGTAGGCACGGGCCACCATCTGCTTGGCGTCGGCATGCTCCATCACCTGCAAAGCAGGGTCGAGATATGCGAGTGTCCAGGCTGTGCCTCGGGTGATCATTGAGGGAGATGGAACGAGAGATCCCCAGCTGGATGACTCTGGCGATGGCGCCGCAGGTCCCTCCAGCGGCGCCCCAGAGCGCACTCGGCGGCAGTTCTCATCACCAAATTCCTCATGTCAGGATTGGCCTTACCCGGTCCAGACTGCTGATGATGACACCAACCATGAGGTTTGCCAGGATGAATCCGTCCACAAAAATGTATGAAACCGCGAGAATCGTTCCAAAAACCTGCATGTGACACATGTGTGTTGGGATGGTGCGCCCGACCATGCTTGGGCGACCTATTATGTGACATTCATTTTTGGGCCCTCCTCCCTGGCAGCCAACCAGGGCAGCCGGTCTCACCGGGAGGGACTTGGCGGAGTAGAACTCTTCGAGTTTGATGTCCCCGTGCACATGCTCATAGATGGTCAGGAAGGACTTCCAGATGTTCCCATACCCCTCAGGCTCTTTGTCGGCCGTGCGGAAGGTGATGTGGAAGGCGGCGGCGTACCCCCCCATGACCAGGAAGAGGAAGGCGAGGAGCCAGCTGGTATCGCAGATGACCTCCCACAGCACGTCGGCAAAGGCGAAGCGGGTGGCCCGGAAGGCGCGGGACCAGTACTGCAGCCGAAACAGCAAGATGATGCACTGCACCGCCAGGACGATGGTCAGCCATTCGCTCTTCACGCTCAGCCTGCCCAGGTGCATGCCGGAGATGGCCACCTGCCATGATCGTGAACGATCAAGAGGAGGCAGTAAAAGATCAGGGTGGCTCACCAGAGCTTGGGAGAAGCAGCACATACAGACATTGCAACCCTCGGAATCAGGTCACTTCCTTGACAGAGAACGATAGACAAGAGGCGGCACTCCAATATGCTTGGCAGATGCAAGCTGAGGCACTGAGGACCTCAACATTTACAGCCACAAAGTCTCCACCCAGCCCTGCTCCACTACCTGATTGATGTAGGTCAGGGTGCTCAGGATGTGCCAGGGGTCGCAAATCCACTGGAGGCGGTAAATGCTGGCCATGGTCATGTCGATGGCGAGGAAGGGCAGCATGCACAGCAGGATGCCGATCTCGAGGCCCACAGTCACACGCCCTCGCGCGGTGTGCAGGAGCTCCATCAGGGAGTGGCTCAGGTCTTCACCCTGAGAGGCGGGGAGGAGGGCCAGGCTGAGGTTTTAACAGTCATCGCAGTAATTGACAGCTGGCCAGGAGCTGGGCGTCAAGGAGTCGGTCATCGATTCATTGCACTATCAAAGACGCTGAAGGTTTTGATTATCAGCAACGCTTATCCATGGAAGGTGTCTGCTACCATTCACCTGGAACGCCACAATGAAGCCATAGAAGCACAACAGCCAGCAGATGAAGAGGCCCAGCTGAATCATGAGACGAGTGCGTGCATACTTTGTCCACTTGTAGGTAATGATGGCCTGTCGTATGATGTAGTAGTTCCGTTAGGAATGGTGCACCAGAGGCCATACTGTATGGTCCTTGCCAATGTTGGACCGATGCCCACTGGCCCCCTTGTGGAGGATCAGCTTCCAGGGGAAACTCTCCCACTCGAAATGAGCGTCCATGTCATGCTCTCGTGCACCAATGCAAAGATAGCACAAACAAGAGTGGTCAGCTTCTTTTACCATGTCAACACACCTTCACAGCTGGCAGGTCGAACACAGAGTATGACAAACGCTTGGCTTGAAGTCTGGAGTACCACGTCGAAGGATAGGGGTCAAATGAGATCTTTAAAATCAGCCCCCCGGAGACCTCCAACCATGTAACCCAAGGGCTCAGTGATCGATTTCCCAAACACTGTCACAACACTGTCGCAGCCACTGCTCCTCATTAATTGGAGGACTCGGTCAATCGACCCAGTGGATCACATCCCACACCTGCGCAGTAGGGGGTGCAGGAGACCCTTGGACTCTGGGTCAGCTGCACTTCGGATGGGAACCACAAAGGCCTCCACGGTGATCGTTGAATGCCAACCTACGGGTTATGAGGTGCATGTGAGGACCCATTCAAAGACAAGTTATAATAAGATAGCTTCAAAATTTCACATAGTGCGTTGTATGGCAATCAGATGTCAGAAAAGGGTCTCAGAGTGTCACGTCCCCCCCCCCCCCCATGATATTGTCACTGAGTTTTTACCTGTAGGGTTTGGCTCCAGCTTCCGATTTAAACGTTTCCGCCACTCCTCCTCGGCATCCAGATCCAGCTCATCTGAGCCGAACGTCAACATGGGCCCTCCCTTGAAGGCCGAAAACACGCGATCTTCCTGCAGGGTCGACAGAGTGCGACTTGCGGTCCCTGAACACGCCACCTCCTGGCCATTTTGGCCGGCTTGAATCTTCGACCACATGAATCTTAAACAGCACCGATAGACTCGGATATCTGCCACCCACCTCGAGATCAAATTCCGCCAGTTTATGCATGCCATTGGATTGTATGTATTGTAGAACCTCCGATTGGCGAAGGTGCAGCAGGCTGGCGACAGTGGCGGTGGGCAGGGACTCCAGCCTCTCGGGGTCTGACTCGTGACCCCGCAGGAGGTCCACCTCCAGAGTCTCCTGATCCCGCATCGTGTTGTGTCAAGAGGGGGAAAAAAACAAGAAAAATGGATGAAGCTCCAATGCCTTTAATGGATGGGCCACGAGAGCGGCAGCCCTGCCTTGTTCTACGACCGATGACCCCCCCGCCACCTTCCGAGCCGCTGTCCGCGGACTGCCATGTGGCTGGCACAGCTGCCTCCGAAACTACTCGCAGCACTCGAGTGTGTCTCCCCTCCTTGCAGATGAGTGGCACGAGAAAACAAAGCAAGTGGAAAAATCACGCACTGCCGTCGCCGTTGGGCAGGCCCTCCGTCGCAGAGGGCGGCGCAGGGCTCCCTTGCGCAACGCCCTCTGACCCCGCTCCCTGGGCTGCCTGGCCTGCCTCTGCGGCACCAGGTTTGGCTTCGGACCCAGAGGGCGCGGTGACCGCGGCCGGCGTCGCCTCCCCGTTGGCTCTGGGCGCCACGGGGGCGGGCGACGCACCTGCGGCCGGATCTGCGCCGGCGCCGGCGCCCTCGCCACTCGCCGCCAGGCTCGCCCGCACCGCCGCCGCACGGGAGCGGTGGAGGTCGCTGGCCACTGGTCGGCGATACGGCCGCACCTCCGTGCCCCCGTATCCCGGCACATGGATGTCCCTGACGAGGTGCGCGGATGGGAGGGAGGGCGGTGTGCGACAGGCGGCGGCTGTGATCGTACATCAGAGCCTGCAGCAATCTGTGTGCACGCCGACTGCACATCCCAGGATGCAGAGAGACCTATGCAGCACCTCCCTCTCCCTGCTGCCCAGACCCAGCACCTTCCCCCACACATGCCCTCCCCCAAAAACCATGCGCATGCCATGCCAGGCACGCACCAGCAGCGCTGGTAGTAGAGCTGGAGGTCGGCCGCTTCCAGCGACTCCGACTGGCGCTGGCAGGCCAGGCTCAGGCCAAAGGCGATGCCGCCCGCCACAAACTCCTCTGCCAGCTGCTTCAGGGCGGCGATGAGCGACGGGGTGGCCTTCACGCGAGGGCCACACACGTCCTTGACCAGCTTCTGCGAGGGGTGGGTGTGTTGGGGGGTAGAGGAGGAGGATGAGTCAAAGGTGTGGCATGGGGATGAGGACGCTGCCCAGGAACTGCACATCGGCAAACGTGGCAGATTCCCTTCGGCTGCTCAGCGGGACCCCGGGTGACGAGAGTATGCTGTCTGACCCGGCGCGAGTCCGAGTTACGAAAGGTCGACGACCACCCATACACCAAAGTCCCCACCCCACACTCTCTGGCCCCCACCTGCGCTCGGGTGCGGGGCAGGAAGGCCTTGTCCTCCTCGTTGCCGGGCTTGGTAATGGGGGGCATGTTGGGCCGCGCCGCGGCCGCTGAGGCGCGCTCCGCGATGCGGGCCTGGAGCGCCGAGCTGGCGGCGGCGGCGGCGGGCTTGAGTGCGGCGGCCGCGGCGGCCGCTGCGGCCGCCGGCGACGCCGCCGGGTGCGCCGAGGCCATGACGTGCGAGCCCTGTGAGCTGCCGGGCCTCTGCCCCTGGGCGGGGCCCTGCGGGATGGCCAGGCCGGGCGGCGGCTGGGGCGCGGGCGGCGGCTGGGGCGCCTCGACACGCGGGCGTTTGGCGGCCGCCGGCCGCTGCATGGGCGGCGGGTTGCTGACCAGGCCGGCGCCCTGGGTCAGGCTGGAGGCGCGCTGCACGGCGTGCATGTTCATGGCGTGGCGGGCGGCTGCGGGGATGTGTGGGTGGGGCGGTGGTGACTGGTGAATGGCACGAGGGGCTTTGTCAAGGGTCGGTCCCTGCATGCCCCGGCAGCATGGAGGCCACCTGCGCACAGCTAGCGGACCCTGACACGCGGTCAGTCACCCCACACCAGCCCAAACCCTGCCATCCAGGCTCCAGGCCCAGAGTGGACAGCCCCTGGCCTGATCTAGAATCCCCATAGCGCGAGAGTGGACTCCTTCCCCCTCCCTCCCACCCCCCCCCCGCCACCCGTCCACTGCGAGAACTTAGAGATTATGACTTGCGCGTGCATGGCTGGGTTTGCCACCCAGCTGGGCCACTCGGCGGGGAAATCCCTGAGGAAGTCTGCCGGGATGAGCTGCTGCCTGGGCAGGTGCTCGCCAGGGTACCGCAGCGATAACACAAAGTTGGTCGGCGGCTGCTGCTGCTTCTGCTGCTGCCCCCCTGCCTGGCCCTGCTGCTGCGGCTGGTACTGCTGCGCATGCTGCTGGGTGGCATGGGCCCCGACACCCTGGGCGCCGACGGCCGGGGGCGTGGCGACGCGCATGGGAGCGGCCGCCTGGACCCCACCGGCCGACGCGGGCCGGCTCGCCCCCTGCTGCTGCTGCTGCGCCGGCTGCTGCTGCTGCTGCTGCCGCTGCTGCGCCTGGGAGTTGAGGAAGTTGTGCTGCATCATCATCAGCATGGCCTGCTGCATGCTCTGGGGCTGCGCGCCGAACTGCGCCATGGCCTGCATGCCGGGCTGCTGCTGCTGCTGCTGCGCATGCTGGCCCTGCCCCTGCTGGGCCCCGGCCGCCTGCTGGCCAGGCTGGGGCATGCGCATGGCCATGCCGGGCATGACAAAGCCGGGGGGAAGCTGTGCCCCGCCCTGAGCCATCACCAGGCCGGGATACTGGGCCATCAGCTGCTGGTGCTGCTGCTGCAGGGCCGCGAGGTTGGGGTTGGAGCCGGACCCGGGGGCGGCGACGGGCCGATCTGTGTGTGGGGGAGGGGTGGTGGCGATCGATGCGGTACGGGGGTGGATGGATCAAGGCAAGGAGCCAGCGGCCCCCGTCACCGAGAGGTCCTGGCGGGGTGACGTACCTGTGCGAGCCATGGCTCGGCTCGCGCGGCACGCCTGGCGGCCACGAGAACCGGCTGAGGCAAGGGAACGAGGGTGTGGGAGCCGATGTCGCGGATTTCGAGGTCGAGACGTGGCAAGGCGCGGAGGAGGGGAGGGGAGCGCCCTCCTTTAATCTGTGTGCCTGCAGCCCTTGTGGACTCGCAGTCGGCAAGACAGGGGCACCAGCTCAGGATTCAGGCTCGCAAAGCTCGATATGAGCTAAAACTGCGAAGTTGCAGGACAGGCCAGGGGCCTCGGCCCTCTACCCAGTCGCAACTCACCCCTCATCGCGCTGCCAGCCTGGCAATTTCCGTACGGGGGGAATCGTCCGTCCATCGGGCCCGAGAGCGCCTTGCCAGGCCTCGATCAGCAATCCTGGGCGCGCTGAGGCAGCAACCCACAGCACCGGCTTGTACTTGATGCTCTCCATCACACATTGGTCATCCAAGCCTATGTGTTAGGGACGCAACTGCAAGCCCGACCATTTCAGGAGCAGGGCTGAGGGGCGGAGGTTAGTAGGCCCAGCGTGTTCGCCTGGGTCCTACAGCATGGCCGCGACACTGAGCAGTGCCCCACGAGGAGATGTGGTGGGTCAGAATCAGTGGCTGAAGGAGGCCATCGTCAACATCAAGCGGAATGCGTATGGACTGCGGAAGGCCATGGTGAGGGGCGGTGTTCCGGTGCTTTGACCGCAGGCCCTTTGCAGGGTCGATGAGCACGGTTCGGTTTACTCCCTGAAACGCTTGTGTGATTGGCATTAAGTGGGCACCCTGTCCCGGCGTTGCTTCGGCGTCAGCGCCACGTTCCCCTACTCCCTGGATCACTGCCAACAGGACGAGGACAACGTTAAGGATGCCCTTCGCTACTCCGCGGCGATGCTTGGGGAGCTGCGGACCTCCTCTCTGGGTCCGCAGAAGTACTACGAAATGTACATGCAGGTCTCAGACCAGCTGCATTTCCTGACGGTGGGTCCCTGGCCGTATGCTTGAGAGGGGCCTCAGTGGCTGAGACGGAGTCGATCATCGCACGTAGTCGATGCAGCAGGAGGGAGTCACGTGTGCGTTGGTGTGGGTCTCTCGCTGCCTTGAATACTTCGTACTCACGCCGCACGCTTCTCCAGGAGTACTTCGCGGATGAGCACAGGAAGGGGCGATCCTACGCTGACCTCTATGAGTTGGTCCAGCATGCGGGCAACCTCCTGCCCCGGCTGTGAGTCCTTATCTTGCTGTTTCTCAGGGGGGGGGGGAGGTTTGCCAAAGACTGGGCATGGCCCTGAACTTTATGGCAATCTCGGCCCTGTGAAATCGTCTGGCCCCAGACCCATCGTCCCGCCCCCGTCCTGGCTTGAGCGTGTCACCGCTCTTTCCCACCCAAGCACGATGCACTCACCCGGCCCCGCCTGTCTACCCAGGTACCTGCTCTGCACCGTGGGGGCTTGTTACATCCGATCCCGGCAAGCCCCCGCCAAGCTGATCCTGAGGGATGTGGCAGAGCTGTGTCGGGGTGTGCAGCACCCAACCCGGGGTCTATTCCTGCGAGCCTACCTAGTACAGGTGTGCGGGCCGACATGGCCATGGCAACGTGCCACGCTGCTGTCGTCCTGTCCGTCTTGGGTGTCCAGGAGGCCGCAGCCTCGTTGGTCAAGTGCGCCCGGCTCCTCCCCGTTTCCCAAGGTGATTTGATGCCAACCATGCACCCACAATGCCTCCACCTGCCCTCCTGGCAGGCCTACCGCAGCCTGCTGCCCGCCACCGGCAGTCCCTACGAGAGCCCGGAGGGCGGCAACGTGGAGGACGCGGCCGACTTCCTCCTGCTCAACTTCACGGAGATGAACAAGCTGTGGGTGCGGCTGCAGCACCAGGGCGGCTCCGCGGACCAGGGCAGGCGCGAGACGGAGCGCCGGGAGCTGGCGGACCTGGTGGGCAAGAACCTGACCTACATCTCCCAGCTGGAGGGCCTCACCTTTGCGGCCTACCAGAACCGGGTCCTGCCCAGGTGGGTATGAAGGTGTTGGAGCGACAGCCAGCTTCTCTATCGCCCCCGAGGGTTCTGGGACTCACGTGCTTATGCGCTGCAGAATAGCATGGCTCTCATTGGTCTGTCGTGTGCAGCAGTCCAGACCAGCCATCTTTACTGTATACTCATGTGTAACCCCCCTGTTTGACCTCCAGACTGCCATCTTGACAGCCCCTTCCCCCCCTCTCCAACCCCCTCTGCAAACCCTTCCCCCCCTTTCTAAAACCCTTTCCACCCCATCCTCCGCAGGGTGCTGGAGCAGGTGGTGAGCTGCCGCGACGAGCTGGCGCAGCAGTACCTCATGCAGGCCCTGATCCTCGCCTTCCCGGATGACTTCCACCTGGGCACGCTGGGCACGCTGCTGGACGCCCTGCCGGGCCTGCAGCCCGGGGTCAAGGTCGCCACCGTCCTGTCCAGCCTGCTCGACCGCCTCGCATCGTGAGAGTGGGGCTTGATGGGGCACCGCTGGGTATTGGATGGCGGGCGATCCTCGTCGGCGCACGTGCTGCATTGCATCCCAACCACCGAGCCTTGCCCCTCACCACCCTTTTTCACGCCCACTCCTTCTCCTCCCCTGCCCTAACGCCCCATCACCATCACCTCACCTCCCCTCCCCCGCGAAACCACGCTCACACTCCAGGTATGCGGGCGCCAACCCGACGGCGGTGGGCCAGATGACGGAGCAGGACGCGTTTGGCACACTGGCCGGCGTGGCGCTGCGCGTGACTCAGCGCCACCCGGACACGCTGGTCGCTGATGTGGCGGGCATGTACGCGGCGCTGCTCGCCTTTGCGGGCACGGTCTACCCCGAACGCCTCGAGCATGTGGACATGGTGCTCGGCAACTGCCACGACGTGAGGCGGTGGTTGGACTTTGAAGCGGGGTGGCAGCCGGAGGGTCGCGTTGTGCCTTGGTGGGGGAGCGGGGGGGATGGATCTGGCTCTGTGTCAGAGACCCTGTGCACTCCCATCCCCCTGCACAGGCCCTGCGCTCGCGCGGCACCGTGCCGGCGGGAAAGGCGGAGCGGGAGGTGGTGGCCCTCCTTTCCACCCCGCTGAACAAGTACGACGTCGTCACAGGTGCGCCAGGTTGGGGATGGTGTGTTCAGGGTTGGGGGGAGTGTGGGAGCAGAAGGACGGCGATGTGCCCGTGCCGGGATGTCGCATGCCACTGTCACCTGATGCAGCCGGGGGGGGGGCCGCGCACCTGTGCCGAGTCGCCCCCCCGCCCTTCCCCCGCCTCGGCAGTGCTGGGCCTGAAGCAGTACCCCGCCGTGCTGAGCCTGCTGAGGCCAAACATGCAGCGCGAGGTGGCGCTGAACATCGCGCAGGTGAGGGGCCCCCGGGGTGCGGCGTGATCGCGGCACACTGTGGCCGGCAGGGGATTCCAGTGGGGGTCCTCGGAACCCTGTCGCCCCACGCGCGGGCAGCCGCACACGATCAAGGATTGCAGGTGCCCGACCTCCCTGCCCCCGCTCCGCAGTCGCTGCTGCGCAGGGGGGCCAGGATCTCCAGCGCGGAGCACGCCGGGCTGCTGCTCGGCCTCCTAGCCCCGCTCCTGCACGACGTGGATGGCATCGAGCTGGACTCCTCGGTGCGCCGGGGGCCCTTGGGGGTTGGGGAATGCTGACGAGGCGGCTGGCGTCGTGACGAGGGTGTGTACGGCGCGACCGCGTGCGCCTCGCTCCACCATGCACCGATCGATCTTGGGGCATTTGAGATCGCCCGCCCCCCGCCCTGGCAGGACATCGAGGATGACTCGGCGCTGGTCGCGCGCGTCGTGCACGTTATGGTCGCCGCCGACAGCGACGAGCAGCACCGCGTCCTGGACGTGCTCCAGGCGGCCCTGGTCAGGTGCGCGGAGGGAGAAAGGGGGATGGGGGAGGGGTAAGCAAGTCGGGGCCCGAGGGTGGTCTCGCACGGCAGCAGGAGCCTTGTGAGTCGTAGAATGGTCTCCTCCCGACCAGGCACAACGACGCCAGTGGCATCATGGGTCTCTGCGTAGACTGACTGTCCAGGAGAAGTATGTCTGGCCCTTCATCCTAACCTCCCGTGCCCGACTCCTGCCCCTGTCGCCGCCCCAAACCCTGCAGGGGGTCGCCCGAGAGGCAGCGCCATACCCTGCCCACCGTCGCCTTCGTGGCGCTGAAGACCTTCCGGGACGTGGCCGAGGGCAAGGCGCAGGCGAAGGAGGTGTGGCGGAATGGGGGGGTCTGGTTTGGCGATCAGATCGTCATCTGAAATGGTCGGCGATCATTCACAGAAGCGATCGCGGGGAGGCACGCTCCGCGCCCCTGGGACCCTGCCGTGGTGCATGCATGCACGCTGTCGCCCCCCCACAACCGAATCCCACTCTCCTCCCCACCCCAAGTTCCCCGCCGAGGCCTGGGCCAAGCGCGTGCACGCCGCCGTCTCCGCTCTCGCGGCCGTCCCCGCAGCCGACGCGGCGCTGGCGCTCTTCCTTGTCGCCGCGGCGGTGGCCAGCGAGAGCGCACGCCTGGAGCTGGTCACCTACGACCTCTTCGAGCAGGCCTTCCTGCTGTACGAGGAGTCGGTGCCGGACAGCCGGCGCCAGGCGAGCGCGCTGGCCGCCATCGTGGGCACGCTGCACCGCTGCCGGGTGCTGGACGCCGACGCACGCGGCGCGCTGGTGCACAAGGCCGCGGGCTACTGCTCCAAGTTGCTGCGCCGCGCCGACCAGTGCCTGGCGGTGCTGGCGGTGTCCCACCTGTACTACCAGGAGGAGAGGGCGGAGGAGGGGGCGGAGGAGACCGACGCCTCGCAGAGCGACGCGACGGGTGCCCACCCCGCGCCACCAGGCGCTGGGCAGGACCCCCCGCCCCACCCCGCGGTGCGGGACGGCGCGGCCGTGCTTTCCTGCCTGAAGCGCGCGCTGCGCATCACGCACGCGCAGCAGCAGCAGCTGCTGCAGACGGGGCGGGGCGAGCTGGAGGGGCCGGGCTTCCTTTTCGTGGAGATCCTGAACCACTACCTGTACTACTACGAGCGCGGCGTGGCCGCCATCACCCTCTCCGCCCTGCAGGTGGGGGTCTGGGGTGGTGGGCGGGTGTTTGGGGATTTGGTGATGTTGGCGCCCATGTGCTGTCGCGGCCTCCTCGCCCACCCCACACCGCCCCCCCTCTTCACCCTGACCATGCCCCTGTTTCTTTTCCCCACCCTAAAAACAACACAGAACATGGTGGACCTGGTGGCCAGCGAGCTGTCCAGCGAGGCGTGCAAGGAAAGCGAGACGCTGCAGACCTTTTACGCCAACACGCTCGACCACGTGCGCCGCCAGCAGGGCGGCGACGGCGCGGGGCTCTACGCCGGGCTGCGCCTCGGCGCGCACTGACCGCGGACGGGAGCTGGGAGGGGGGCCTGTGTTGCGCTGGGGCTTGCGAATCGTGTCACGGACCCCTGTGTGCCCCCCGGCTGCATTCGTCAGAGTGTACAGCGCCGGTGCAGGGGCGTGGGCGCCGTGCGCTGCCGCGCAGAATGCACAGCTGAGCGTGGGGTGTTGGGTACGGAGAGCGGGGCAGCTCCAGGCAGGCAGCATCTGGGAACGGGCAGCTCGAACTCCACGGCCATGTCCTCAGGGGAATGCCGTGGCGTCTGAGCGAGGCGCGTGCAGCATGAGAGCGGGGAGGAGGACGCCCATGCCCAGCTGCAGCCCCGATATGAGGCCCATGCAGGCCCAGCCCCGCGTGCTGCCAAAGGCCGCGGAGCAGAGACCAGTGGTGGAGGTGGCCGCCAGCGCCATGCTGGCCAGCTGGAGCGGGCCCTGGAGCAGGGAGCGGGCCTGGCGCCCTGCCGCCAGGCACAGCCCCACCGCGCCGGCCGTGGAAAGCACGGCAGGTAGGCTGGGCACGTACCCCAGCCGGTCCAGCAGGGACCAGCCCACCCAGGTGTTGGCCAGGGGCAGCGCCAGCGCGCGCAGAGTGGCGTAGGCCTTTGCGCCCGCGCTGGTGCGCTGCGGCGGCAGCCAGCCCAGCCTGCTCCGGGAGGGGGGGGGGTATGGGAGAGGGGGCCCGAGGTGAAGGTGAGATGTGTTTCAGTGAGGCAGGGGCGTGCAGTGAGGGCGAAGGGCAGCAGGGACTGGCTGTGAAAGCATGCACTGAGGTCAAGCCAGCAGCACCCCCTGGTGTCGGTTCCCGGTCGGTTCCTCCCGCCCAGGGGCCCTCACCAGATCCACTGGAGGATGAGCAGGGCGACGTGGGAGGCGACGACGCAGGCGGAGACCAGCACGGCCGCGTTGGTCTCCCCCGCTGCCGAGAGGTGGGAGAAGTGGGCGTACACTGCGCACATGGACACCAGGTTCAGCAGCAGGCCGCTGCTGGCGCCACCGGGTGGCGTGCCATCCAGGGGTGCCTTGTTGCTGGCATGGTGCGGGCAGCCTGTCACTCGCAGGAGGAGGGTGGGGGCGAGGGAGTGGGATGAAGGAGGCTGGGAGTTGCAGCAAGGGATCCTGCTCAGCCAGGTAGAGGGTCGGGGGGAGGAGGCAAAGCTGACCACAACGCCATTCGTCCAAGCTCGGATCCGTAAGCGCGGGGGCTCAGGCTCCATCCAGGGTGCATCAAACGGCCCTGCCAAGCCCCATCCCTGCCCGACACACACATGCATCGTGCTCCACGTGTCTGCCCGGCGCACAGGGCGTCCCCACGGCCTCGGCGCCAGCTGCGCCGCGCGTCTCAGCTGGCGGCGCACCAACTGGGCGTGGGCCCGGCGCCGTGGGTGCCTGTCGCCGTTTCTTCTTATGCAGGGCCTCGCCGCGGGCACCACTCCTCCTGCCGTTTGCGCCCGGAGCCGGACCGACGACCGAGCCCTCCCTGGGTCCTTCCGGAGGTTGCCCCCCATCGGGGGTGCGGGAGCCGTTGACACGCAGGCGTACACGCTGCTCCAAGAGCAATGGCATCGCATGCTGTGTGGAGTGGTGGAAATAAACAGGGAGTTGGCAGTGTGATGGCTGACGAGCTACTGCTTGAGGCGCATGCACACATGCTGAACAGGAGCGAGGGTCTGCAGGGCTCTGCGCGATTCAAACGCAGCATCCAGCACTCGAGGCAGCGCCAGGCCCGATTCGATCTGTCCGCAGGAGGTTTATGCCGGATGCTCGGCTCCAAGGCGTGTCACACTGCTCCTCTACACAGTCCGCCTGCCCGACATTGGGCCCCAGCCGCAGGAGCGTTCCGACACATTCCCCTACAGATCCCATTCGATCCTGGCCCAAGGACGCACACCCTCCAAATCACCTCGAGGAAGGTCTCCACGTCCCTGCCCCGCGAGAGGGCTGCCCGCCGCGCGATCAGGGGCAAGAGCAGGGAGGAGAGGGCGGCCAGGAGGCCGCGGTCGGCAAAGGCGTGCCTATCGCAGGAGGCCAGGCCCAGCACGCCAAGGCAGGGCGCAGCGTGCTCGGCATGCTCAGCGAGCTCAGCGTGCAGCGGCGCGGCCGCCATGGAGGCCGCCCCCAGCCCGCAGTGCAGTGCGTCCCAGTCAGCGTACCGAGGCCCGCTGCCGGGGTGGGATGCAGAGGGCTTAATTTCAGGACGCCAGCGGAGCGGCGTCGATGCCCCCAGAACCATCCCCGCAGCAAGATTGCATGCGTGCTGTGTCGCCCACGCTCCATAGCCAATGCCCCCAAGGACACCCCCCTTCCCCCAAGAAATAAATAAACAAAGACACCGCTCCTTGCACTGTCCACTGACCTGGTGGCGTAGTCGTTGGTGAGGACCACGGCCTCCAGCTTCGCGGCGGCTGCAAGGGCTGTGCTGCCCACGGTGTAGGGCGGCGTGGGCTGCCGGCTGTGGCCCTGGTCGGGGCTCAGGGTCCACACGGCACAGTTGGACCAGTCAAGGCCCCCGGTCAGCAGCAGGTCCAGGGCATCGTCATCCTGAAGGATGGTATAGGGAAGTGTTGCACACATGTCTCCGAGTCACACGTGTGGTGGGGGGAGGGATGACACCTGGCACCAGGACCTTGGCAAAACAAAGATGCATCCCTCCCATGCCCACAACCTGGTGAGGCAGCCCTTTCACCTTGTCCCAGGACAGATCGAGCGGTACCTTCCGCCGGCTGCTCCCGCCATCCCGTCCCGGCTTCCGCTTGGAGGCAGGGGCAGCGGTGGTCGAAGAGGCAAGGGTGCCAGGCAGCGGCCGTGCTGGCAGGCACAGGATGCTGTCACAGATGGGGGCAATGAGGGAGATGTGCAATGTGGGGACGAGGAGCATGGGGACAAAGTCATGGACGCCCATCCCCCACGAGGGCTCTAGCCTGCCTGATGTGGATGAGGCCGGCAAAGAGGAGGTGGGCACGCTGAGCAAAGCTGGAGAAGGGGTTGCCATCCAGGGGGTCGATGGGGGCCAAGCCCACCTCCTCAGCCTGGGGTGGGGTGGAGGAAGTCGAGGATGCCCCACTGCTCGAGACCATGCGATCATCCAGGCACTGTAGCCGCCCCATCCCACCTGCCCTATCGGGGAGTCCGGCGAAGTCATCCCGACACCCAGCAGCAGCAAGCACACGAACGCGGGGCAGCCCCGCAGCAATGCGCGGGCAGCTATACGTGCATCCAGCGCTGATGATGCCGCGAGCCAGCCCAGGGAGACGCGAGCAGGACCGCTACTGTACGAGACCAGTGCAACCCAGCACAGCAGCAGGAATGTCAGACGAGCAACCCATCAGATCACCATTCAGTACATGCTGATGGCCGCATGTGATCTTGGGCCCAGCGAACGAACAGGACATGCATGCTACTCGGCTCGGTGGTGTCGGATCACCGCATGCGCTGTCTGGGGACCGACCCGCTCTCCCGAGGCGCGCCGAGATCCCAACCACAGTAATATGTACTGAGTTCGACCATCAGACCCCCATCCAGCAGGTCGAATTGTGATGGTCGTGTCTCCATATACCACAGTTACACTAAATAATCGATGGGGGATGGATGCGAGCGGCATGCTCCCGAATATATACTGTAACCACGTCCCTCTCGAGCAGCTGAGACGGCACCCCCGCTTCAATTCCCTTCCCCCTCCCGAGGACCTGGTGCTTGGAGATTCTGCTGAATACAGGTGCTCGATTTCGTAGCACTGGTGACTGATGGCTCGCCTCTGCTGCCGGACGGCCTCAGCATTGGAATCCAAAGCGGGTGTACGCATGAATGTCAGGATCACAGCTGGCAGGGCCAGCACCTCTCACCAGCCCTCGAGTCGCCCCCCCCCTGTCCAGACTGGTCCGGCAGGATCACGAAACATGGGACAAGTTGCATGCTGGCATGCTCACCACAGGTGTGCTTGCATCTGGGCTTGGCTTTTACGAGTCCGAGTCCGTCAAGCGGCTGCGGCTGCCGCCCTCCAGGCAAGAAGTGGGTGTATGACAAGCCAGGGACGATTTTGGCGAGTGAACTCCTGGAAAAATCTTTAAAAGGATGGGGAGGACTGCTTCCATGAAATGTTGTGGTCTTGCTGCTGGATGACATTCGTGGCACCTTCAAGCCAGATGGCAGACTGAGAACGTCCGTCTGTCGCCCACACCCATGTGATGTGCAGGGCTTCTCGCGACAGGCTGGCAGCTGCGATGGAGCGATTGAGGCAGAAGCCATACCTCCCACCAGACCATGGAGCGTCTGACGCAGCGATGCTGAACTCTGCTGTGGTGCAGCGCTGGCAATCGCGATGCCGGGAGCCCGACGATGACGTGAACCAGGTCATTGGCAGGAGTCAGGTCACGGCAGGCACGGCCCGTAATACAGCACGGCGCCTGGCAAGCCTCGGTGGGTTTGGTGCATGGGATGGGTGTCTGGATGGTGAAATGCTGTGTGAGTGCAAGGACCCTCAGAGAAATTGTTGGCGGGCTGGCCGTCGTGCCTGGGGGCCAATGGTGGGGACTCGCAGCAGCACATGACCCTCGCAGCCTATCCTCTCAGGAGGGCTCACCACGGGGCATGAAAATTTTCCAGCTTAATTACCACCTACAGGATTGAAGGGTGTGGGCTGTGCTTATGGAAAGGTTCAAGAAGCTTCAACTCTCGTGGAGCTCATGTCCTGCTTCCCCAACTGCACCGTGCAAGAGGTGAGTGGCCGTGTCAGCAGGTTAGACTGAGATCCCTTCTCCTCCAACAACATGTCGCATGCGTGCGTCTCAGCCATGGCGCCCATACACAGCTTAGAGATGTACTTTGTTGGGCTGAGCCTTTGGGCCATGGTGAAGAAGAGTTTCAAGGATGAAAACATTGTGCCTCGCTTTCCCAACTCCTGCCCCTAGGCTGGACTCCACATGGCAAACCCCGCCCACAACGGGGCGGCCGCACTGCCCCCCATGGGGGCTTCCCCTGACGGCCTCCTCTTCCGTCCGGTTCCTGACGCGAGTGAGAGGCCAGAGAGCCTCACCTTGTCAGGGGAGGAGGTTGGGCAGGATGGAAGTCCAGAAAGCTCGAGCGGGGTGTGGGAGGTGGTGGAGATCAAGAATGTGTGCCCCTTTGGACAGAGCGGCAGGTAGGGGAATCGTGGAGGAGGTTGCCTGAGGGAGGGTGTCCTATCCTACTACATGGTGATCGGGTGTCCAACCTTGGGCTCAGAGCAGGTCGGTGTGGACCTAGAAACCCCTTGTGCCATGTGCGGGGGGCCTTCCACTCAACTTTCTTGCATTCGTTTCGCACAGCGGCCTCTTCACGCTGAAAGACATGGACCCCGTCTGGGAGGTCCGAGCAGAGTGGGTGCCCCAGCTCCAGTTCCACATGCTGTGTTCAGGTGGGCAGCAGGGCCCTGCTGCTGTTGGGGGGCCCAACGCAGCGCATGTCGCGCCTCTGCCTGCTGGTCTGCTGCAGGCTGCGCCGCCCGCCTCGCCGGCCTCCGTGAGCCCTGGCCCCCACATCACGCACCCCTCGTGCAGGCCTGTCCAGTGCCCTGCTGGTGAGCCGGTCGGCGACCCGGGGCCTGCGTGTCTTCCGCATGCCTGCGGACGAGGCCTACGCCGGCCTCATGAAGCACTACATCGCGCGGCTCTGGGCGGCGGTGCGGGCGGGGCGGCGCAGCCTGCCAGCCAACCCCTGGGTCCGGGAGGCCAAGTACCAGGACCTGCTGAGGAGGACGCTGATGCTGGCGCGCAGCGCGCGGGTCGTGGCGGAGCACCCGGGCGCCCAGCCGCTGCGCGGATGCACCCACCTCACTCGCTGGTTCCTGGACGATGGGCGGGAGGGGGCGGCGCCCAGCTGACGGAGGGAGATTCAGTGATGGTGACGGGCGTGCTGTGTGGGCTGTGGGCGTCCCATGCGCGCATGGGCTTCTCGTGAGACATCATAGTTGGGCTCCACCCAGGAGCAATCCCAGTATTCTCTCCTCCACAACCATCACTCTGACATGCGTCTGTCTCTGCCTGCTCCAAGCATCATGTGCATAAATATGAGGGCGCAAGATGAAATGGAGACAGGGGGGCGCGGGCCATTGGAGGCCAGCATCGAGCATGAGAAAGCGCGGCACGTAGATCTCAGCGTCACCGGCTAGCGGCAGCCCATCTCCTGGCGGGATACCCTCTCGCACAGACAGCTGCAGGAGGGGCCCAACCACCGGGATCACTGCCCTAGCAGCCCCGCCTGGCGCTGCAGGCTTTTGCAGTAGCTCTGGTGCTGGTTGAAGTCCACGGCGGGCATGCAAGAGCAGTGCCTCACCGCGTCCGGGGCCTGGGGGCAGTGCATGGCGTCGTCATGCCGGTAACCGATGTCGTCGAAGAAGTGGATGGCGGCGCGGGCGTCCAGCAGCGCCAGGGCTGCCAGGGAGTGCACAGGCGCGTCGCCCCACCGCTCGTAAAAGAAGCCGCCGCTCCTCTCCAAGGCCGCGAAGAAGGCCTGGTACGCTTCGCTGCGGAAGAAGGCCAGGCTGCATGCGGAAAGGCGAGGGGGGAGAGCTCCCAATGAAAGGCCGCCCGGCGGTGGACCAGTATCGATCCATGTTGCAAATGCTTGGGTATGCCTGTTCCATCCATGTGATGAGATGCTGCTCGTTTGAGAATGCTGACGCCCCACCCGTCGCTGCATTCGAGCAGGGTACTGGCAAAGATCCCTCCCACCTGCATAGCCACAGCACACCTGCCGATCTCAAAGTTGCTCCAGTAGTGGCACCCCGTGTATGGTACAGTGTGCTCTGTCACCCTGAGGTCAGTCACCGACACCCGCGAGAAGCCTGGCGCCACCGATGCCAGGCCATTGTTGGGGTGCAGGAGGGTGGCATTGTCGCGGAGGAACTGAAACACGGTCGACCAGAGGGAGGGGATGGTGGACATCAGCTGCGAGGGTGTTGGGGGCAGGGGTGGTGCTTTGTAGACGGCCGGAATGAGCTGTCGGTGGTGACCTTGCAATGGAGGCAGAGAGAGGTGGGTCGAATTCCCAGGGCAGGCGCCCTCCTCACCTCAAGCCTGACAATGTTCCAGCCATATGCAGCCTGTTTGCTCTGGAAATGGAGGGAGAAGGGGGCAGAAACAAGTGTGGTGATGTGCAAACTTGGGCATCTGCGTCTCAACAGTGTTGCCCCAAACTGCAGAGGGAGGGAAGGGGCCTGTACCCTTTCCAAACCACGGCGAAGAGAACAAGCTGCTCGCACTCAGGGACACATGCCTGGCCTGTCCATGGGCCGGGCCCATCCGCCCACCCCTGCACACCCCCTCTCCGCATGCCTGCATGGTGAGGAACGGGTCTTGCTGGAGGTGACAGTAGAAGTGGACGCTGGGCTCAACCCGCCAGTAGTAGTCGAAGCCGCGCAGGAGCGGGTGGTGCATGAAGAAGCCGGAGAAGTACCGGCACATGAAGTGGTAGCTCTCCAACTCCCCGTGGAAAACATTGGCCGCCGCCTGCTGAGCGCGGGCCTTGGCGGCCGCTTCGGCGCTGACGTGGGCCGGGTAGGACCAGTGCTCCTGGGGCACCTTGCCGAAGAAGCACCGGCCTGCGACGCTGCGTTCCACCACTTGCATGAAGGAGGGGGAGAAGTCACCGTTGTTCACGATCACATCTGGGGATGAGTGGGAAGGAGAGGCATGGGGAAAGGTGAGGCGCAGAGGATTTCGGGCAGAGGAGAGGTGGATGTCTGAAGGTCAGAATCATGCCAGCCATGTCTGTCTCGCACAGCATCCCTCATGCTGCCACCCAAACTCGCACCAACGCCCCACTATCCCCACACGCACAGTCTCCGTCACGCACATGGGTACATGGCAGACACATTGCCGTTGAAGGTTGCCTCCAGCTCTTTCAAGCTCTGGACCACCCCCATGGCCTCTTGGTTCCGGGCCAGCACAAAGATTGCTGCACGGGGCTTGTCTTCAGGCCATGCCGCCAAGAGGCGGGCTATTGCCCCGGCGTCCTCCCTGTAACGCGTCTGCACAAAGCTCCTGCCTTTGGGGTCCTCAGGGGCATACGTAGGTGCCGAAATGGGTCGGGGGACGGTGATGCTGCGGATGTGTAGCAGGATCGTGAAGACAGCCCCTGCGGCCAGGCCGAGACTCAGTCTCCGTCTTTTGAGGGTATTGAAGGGGCTCCTGCCCATTACAATGCCAATGTCTCAGCCCATGTGCATCTGCGATTGTGATGGGGGAAGCGGTCATGGGCTGGTAATTTCCGATCGGATCCATGCGCCGCAACTGGTTGAAATGCTGCCGAGGCCAGCATGGCAGGGAAGTTGCAGACAGGTCTCTGACCTTGAGCAATACGATTACCATGTAAACTCGCCGCTTATCCTAAATTCTGTAAGGCGATGAGTAACGCGGTTCCGGATGAGAGATCGTGCAAGGGTTTTCGAGAGCCAGTATGTATGGGGGGTGCAAGGTCTGGCTTCGGGCTCCTCGTATTGTACAAGGGGTGCAAATATTATCCTCGACTCGTCATCTCCATGAACAATAGATGCATCTGGCCTCCTACTCCCTCGAGGACCACCCTCCCATTCGAATCTCAGAGATTGATCACTAGGGTACTGCCGGGTGGCTGTTTTGATCCCCTTCCAACCCCGTCAGCAGACAGGTAAGATGCGCAAGCATGGGCACGCACATCTTTCTCTGGGAATTTGCAGGTTTCAGCGTACCATGGTGGTGACAATCGGGTGACTGCTGAGCTGCCGGGCTCTGTTTGTCCTCAGACGGGGTTCATGGAGGACTTTGAATCCAGCATCAGGGGAGACTAATTAATGAGTAGAAGGTTGTACAAAGTTGTGTTGGCATGGTGGCAACAAAACCTACATCCTAGCAAGGGCACATGGTATTAACGCGTACCAATCTCAAGCGCACTCATGGATGGCCGCCCTCTCCAGCAGCCTCTGGCTCAGCCTTGCTTGGCCGCTCTGATCCGTGCCATCCGCTCCCGCAGCGACAGCTTGGGTCCTGGCGAACCGAGTCCTGACTGGGGAGAGACAGGCTGTGATGCTGCACTGGGAAGGCTTGGCAGTCGAGGTGGGGGACTGCTCGCCAGCTCGGCAGGTACCAGAGAGGCGGTCTGTGCTGCTCCAGGCTTGCGCGCCTCCCTTGTTGAGGCCTGTGGCGCAACGTCAGCTCCGAACAGATCGTCAAAGAGGCTCAAGCCATCTGCAGGGAGCGCCTGCTTCTGCATGAGAACAGAGGTAAGAGAATCGGGATGGAAGGCACCTTGATGATAATACTGATGGACACCTGAATGGCCGTGTTCATGTAGCATGGCTGCTGAAGAGGAGTGGGTCTGACCTGAGACTGGGGAGGTGGCCCAGCTGAATGCGCTGCAGCGACCCCAGGGGTCAGGGTGCTGGGTGCACCAGACCCGGGCGCATCAGGGGTGTCGCGGTCTCCTCCTGCATCGGCATGCGGCCGTGCGCCCTCAGAGCTTGTCGTAGAGAGGGAGATGTGGACTTTTCCCAGGTTGTGGGATGTGGCGGCAGGAGTTTCTGCGGCCACACCTGCGCCTGCTCTCCTTGGTCGGCTCTTTGGCGGTACTGCAGTTTGCCTGCCCTGCTGCCTCCGGGATGGCTGTCGGATGCCTCTGTCCAGATCCTCGTCGTCTCCCCAGGGGGCCTCAGCATCACCACCTGCAGCAGGCTCCTGGTCCGCGCCCTCAAATCCGCTGGACGCCACAGCACGTACGGCCCTTCCCGGCGGAGCAGTCAGCCTGCTCGCCCTCCGGCCACTCCCCGACGCCGGCAGGGGTGGCGAGGCAGCAGGCGACTCCCCCTCCGCCTGCAGCACGACGGCTGTCGGCCGCTTGATGCGGGTGGCGGGCCCCCTGCGCCCCCTCGCGGCCGGACCCCGCACGGCTCGCGGCTTGGCTGGGCTGGGCGGGCTGCTGGGAAGAAAACGTGCCCATGGCCAGCGCTCGACCGGCTCTGCCGCCATGGCATAATCTGTGTGTGTGTGTGAGGATGACTGTGGTCGGCACAGACCCGCTGCCAGCTTGTGGACATGGCAGGCATTCCCCAGTTTTATTGCATGCTTGCGAGGGCCACCTGCAGGGTCTGGCATGGGCTTGTCGTCCAGCACGGCGTCCGTCGCTGCATCCACCCATCTGCAGCGCGGGTGGCGGGTTTGCTCATCAACAGATGTCCATGCTGCAGAGTCTCGAGCCAGCATGGCCGGTATGGTGCAACGGAACCAAACCAAATCCTGACACTCCGAGCCCGGCCAACCCCTCACCCACCCAGGGTCCACAAGCCGGCACGCGCCGCCGCTCAGTCGCGCCCGGAGGCCCTCCAGGCCCGTGCCGGGGTCGCGCCCGGCCTGCAGCGCCTCCAGCACGTCCGCGCCGCGCACCTCGCCGCCGCGCTTGCCTCGCAGGCAGACGAAGAGGCCGGTAACCTCGCCAGCCACCTCGTCCACCCTGGCGCCCATGAGCCGCAGCGAGGCCCGCAGGTAGTCCCCCTGCTCCCTCGCACCGTCGTGGTCCCGCGCCAGGTCCACCACGCAGCAATCAAAAGCCGCGGCGGCGACCCGCTTGGCCCCGCTCCCCGCCAGAGCAGCCTCCTGCTGCCGGCCGGCGCTCCCCGGCACTCCGGCCAGCTCAGCGCAAGTCAAGACCTCCAGCTCGCGTACATCCGCCGTGCTGGGAAAAGGCGCCACCCTGGCGCCCGGGCCCCGCAGCTCGGCGAGCAGGCGGGGCGCCGACAGCGCCTCGACGCGAATGTGGCGCTCCAGCATGGCTTCTACATCCTCCGGGGTCAAGTCCTCGTCGCCTGCGTCCCCATACTCCCTCCCACGCTCCAGCGCCTGCATTGAGCAGGTGGGGGAAGAAGGTGGGGGTGATGATTTGAAGGGCTTGAGGCACGCAAAAGGTCGGGGTGCCCACCTACCGCATGGAGCAGGACTCTGCAGCCGGTGCAATCCCGCAGCACACCAGTCACAGGAAGTCACACCCAGGCGCACCCGCTCCGAGCTGAGGTGGACGTAGTGCCGGGGTCTCATCGCCACGGCTCGGCCCTCCACCATACAGGCCTCCAGCCAGGAGGTGTGCACCAGGTCCCGGTCCTGCTTGATCGCGGCCCGTGCGGCGAGCGAGTCGGCGCCATCTGCGTGGATGCGGCGCCCGCGAGCAGTGGTGATATGAGGGGGGGATGGGGGGCCTAGGAATAGAGAATGCGGATTACATCAATCCCCAGGCGTGGTGACGGTAAGAATCCCAACGAAGGAACCCATTGCCTTCTTCTCCGAGCATGCACCCTCTGCAGTCTGACAGGCATCGTCCTCCCACGCCGCCCTCTCCCTCTTCTCAAACTATATCCGCGCCGACCTGCGAGGAGAAGGGTCACGCGGGGCACCAGGTTTTGGGAGACCCGCCCCCCGAGCCCGGCGACACCCCTCTCCAGCCGCCGCCGCCGCTCGCCGGACATGCTGGCGTGCCCGGCAAAGTGCACAAGGTCGTCTGCCAGGTCGGAGCCCACCACCTGGACCTGCAGGGCGGTGAGTAGGGAGCTGGATGCAAATAAAGGTGAAATAGCTGTTCAGGAAGTGGGTCAAGAGTGGTTGCATGCACTCTCCCTGTACACCCTATTCCAAACCAACCTCTCACATACATCTGAGGTGTCTGCGGGTCGGTAGGTCCCGACGACAGAGAGCGCGAGGCGCGGCCGCTTAGCCGTCCCTGGGGGAGGCGTGTCCCAAGCCAGGGAGGGTCGGGTCGGGCGCTTGCGGGGCGTGTACTGGCTGGGGGACCTCACCAGCCCAGACGAGGCCTCGGCCGTCCCCGTGCCGTCTGCAGGGCAGGGGGGGGGGTGGACCTCCCTGAATGCAAGGCGACGGCCTGCGCAGCGTTCCGGATCCGCAGTCCGGAAGCCGTGCACGGTTGCCACACACAGGGAGTCGAGGCCCATGCCACCCCGATGGCGCTTCAACAAAACCTGGTTTGCTGCAGGCAGCCACACAACCCCCGCCCGCACCGCTGGCTTGCGTTTCCCGCGGGAGGCCCTCCCTGATTCGGCCCCTCAGCTCCGCGTCGGTGGTGGCTTGGCAAGGCACCTTGTCCCACCTGCTTGGATGGTCAGCATTGGAGGTGGCGGGGCGGGTGAGGCAGCTGGATTTTGCATAGAATAGGTCCCTGCATCAAGGCAGCAGATGTCCAGCACAGATGCTGACCCATGGCTGCTGTCAAGCCCTTCAATCCCATGTGCTGCAAAAACACTACCCTCCACAGAATCATCTCTCATGCACGCGGTGCCAGCTCAACAGGCACCAGGGCTCCTGCTCCCCTTTCCTCCCCCTATGTACTCCTCCACCACCCTCCACCCCTCACACACATGCCACCTTATGTCATGCACCGCAGGGAAGCGGAGGGAGAGCTTGGTCGCGAAGGTGCTGGATGGGATGGTCCTCAGGTCGGCATGCACTTCCAGGACCACCGACTGCGAGGGATCCTTGATCCACACATCCGGCGCCTCCCTGCCTGTGGTCCTGCGATGTTTTTGAGAGGGAGAGTGGGAGAAACCCGTCAGCACAGCTCTATGCACCAAACCTTGGCGTCCTGCTGACGTCAATGCAGTGCGTGCCGGCAGGTGTCTGCAGCAGGCGCTAGATGCCATTCCTAGGCAAATTCCCATCCAAGTACTCACTGCAGGCAAGGGGGTGGCACACTCTTCCCATCCAGGAACAGGTGCTTCAGCTGGGCATTCAGTGAAGCTCGCTCCTCGTCGGTCACGCCGGTGCCGACCTGAGGCTCCCAGTGAGCGGGAGGTAGGAGGATTCAAGTAGTCGACAATTGCGGGGAGTGGATGAGTGGACGGTTGAATACGCGCAATCCCACAGCCGTATTTTGAAGATGTGACGGCAGAACCAACTACCACCAGAGTGCAACAAAAACACCCGTCTCCCCCCAGCAGCCTCACCCGGCAGAACGTCAGCCAGGAGCTGGGAGCTTCCCCGGAGACAGGGTTGGGCACCGCCAGTGCAAGGAGGAACTGGGAGATTGCGTCGCCCCGTCGGCCCTGGCCATACCTATTTCATGATGAGATGGAAAGGGTGTCAGGTTTCAAGAGGCTGAACGAGGCTGTTCTGACACATGCATCCTGCCAGCCACCTCCCACTCCCGACCGTGCAGCGGGGTGGTCCTCCCCCCCCATACAGCTTCTTCTACACCCAAGCACTCCGCCACCCACCAGCCGCCGACGATGACGGCGTCGATGTCCATGTTCCTCACGTAATCCAGCTTGATCTTCAGCCAAGACCCCGACCGGTCGTTGGTGGTCCACATCGAGTCGAGCGCCTTGATGACAATGCCCTCGTCCTTCAGCGCCGTGCTCTGAGAGGAGCGGCGATCAAGGGAAGTGGGGGTAACTGGAACTTGCACGTGGACAGCATGTACCGAGTGCCAAGTGCTGAATTGTTCCATCTTGGAAGCTGGGGTGCCGCGCGGGCGTGCACGCGCTCAAAGCCACACCCAGTTGGCCTTGCCTGGTCCAGAGCCTCCTGTATGTCCTCCTGGGTCCTGCCCTCCCGGGAGAACAGGACGTCGTTGAACCGCGTCTCCCCCGGCAGCAGGGGCACCACTCGCCCCATCACCCCAGATGTAGGTATCGCAACTGCCAATGCGGAGGGGCGTGACTTTGGTGGAGGGAGGCGGCAAGGGTCGGGGGGAGGCAGGCTGCATGCATCCTGCGGTGAGCACCTGGCAGGCAGGCTTGCCCAAAGGTGCACCGCCACACCATCAACCCCCCCCCCCCCCCCCCCCCCCCCCCCCCCCCCCCCCACCCACCCACCCCCCCC